TATAAAAGTTAAAGAAAATACTTGAATAGAGTCGAGTATAATACCACTCCTTATACTTTTCAAGTTTATTTTGGATATCCTTACTCTCACTTTTAAACCTTTGGTCAGTCTTAGGAACGGTTTTGACCATTTGGCAAACTTAGTATTTTTTGTACAAAAAGTGGAGAATGGAGCTTACCCTCTACTAAAGATCAGCATGCATATCATTAACAAATTTGGAGATCGTTTAAAGCCTGACACCTTACAAAATTACCTGAAGTATAAGAAATCACAGAACACAGCCTTTTGAAAAAATGACATAGAATCTACTTTGAAAAACCGTCGATGTTATATATCTAATATAATTATTTATATTGTGGATTACTTTATTGCCTATGTAGTTGTGTAATATTATGTTAATACTTCCTCCTGTTACTTTGATCACTAAACGCGATACTTTTTAATTTTTTTCTTACTGATTTTCTCACTGTGCTTTTTTTTTTTCTGATATTTGAAGTTTATAAGTTTGCTGAGATATAGATTTTAAGTACACTTTCGCGGTTTTGAAAATATTTATCTTCCTCTTAAATCTAAGATTTGGACTTCGGCAAGAACTAAATTGATAAGTATTTTTTGTTTCTATTTTTTTTTTTTTTTCTTTTTTATTTCTTTTTTTATTTCTTTTTTTATTTATTTATTTATTTATTTATTTCTTTTGGCAAATACTAATATCTTCCTTGTTTTTTGTAAGCTTTGTTTTTTTTAGAATGCAAATGTAGACGGTTTTAAACTTTAGCAGAAAATAAGAACTATGCCTGAAGATATGTATTAATTCTTTTATTTATTTAATTCTTTTATTTATTTATTTCTATCTTTCCTCAGCAGATATTAATATCATCTTTTTTTTGTAGGTTTTGGCTTCATTAGAATGTGAAAATGGACCAGTGATGGGGTTTTGAACTTTGGTGAAAAATAAGAACTACGGCTGAAGTTAAGTACTAATTCCTTTTCTTTTTTTTTTTTATTCTTTACTATTTTTCTTTGCAGATAATAATTTTTTTTTTTTTGTAGGCTTTGACCTTATTAGAATGTAAAAAAAACTAGCAATGAGAGTTCTAGACTTTGGCAGGTATTAATTCACATTGGTCAATAGAAATCTTAACTTGGTTTGGAACTGAGAACAGAACCAGAGATAAGTACAGTCGACTATAAATATAATGAACCTTTCTATAACAAACTCTGAATATAATGAACACAAAAATTTTGAAATTTTAGTATAAAAAGTGGCGTGAGTTCTTAAGAAAATATAGTAATTTTTTTATAACGAACTTTTTTTCTTTCAAAATCTTCAGTTCATTATAGAAAGAGTTGACTGTATTAAATTTTTTTTTTTTTGTTTCATTTTAATTCTTTTTAGCATGTGCTAATATTTTTTGTATCTAGCTTAGGTGAAATATAGAATCGCGTTAAGATTTGGAAACTAGGCATTTCTTCTTTTTTTTGTTTAATTACTACAACTTATACTTTATAAAATAATGATATAGCTATGATGTATAATTTTATGGAATGAACAATATTGAGTCAAATTAAAATTTGCGTTAGATTAAAACAACTATGATGCTATAATACCTACTTACCTTATCCTAACATACCGAGTGTTTCAAAAATTGTCTAATTTTTTTATGAGATTATGATATTAGACCAGTAGTAGAACTTTTGAAACACCCGGTATAGGGTTTTATACCATGTTAATTTGGCATAATTATGTATTTCAATAAAATTTATTTAATTAAAATAAATCTTAAGAATTGTTTAAATTTTTAATAAATTTTGATTTTTCTTCTGGGCTCCTTCATCCTCTATTTTTCCAGTATGCATTTCGAGTTCTTTTTATTAGTTCACTGATAGTTGAATGTTTATTTTCATGCCTTTTTCAAGAGTTATTTAAAGCCTAACACCTTATGAAATTATCTGTAATATAGAAAATCATGGAAGACATAGTGATCCTGATTTTTTTTTAAAGGAATCTTTTTTTTTTTTTTAAAGGAATCTCTTTTTTTTTTTTTCTAAAGGAATCTATTCTCTTCTTTTTTTTTTTTAAAGAATCTCTCCTTTTTTTTTTCTTTCCAAATCCTCTTTTTTTGTAGTTATGTCAGTTACATACAAACAATAAAAAGTTATTAATACTTTTTTTACTACGTATTATTACTGAATCATAATATATTGTTGAAAGTACTTTCAAAAATACTACTGCTGTATTATTATTTAGTAAGCAGAGCACATTCATTGTATTGTAGTTCTGTAGTTGAATTGCAAGCAAATTATTTTTTTGCGGCATCTTTTTTTTTTATATAATATAGTTTTTTTTTTTATTTTTTTTTATTTTTAATATAGCTGGTAACTTTGTTGAAAGAGAAGACAATGTGTTTGAGGAAATTGAAGTTGACGAAGGTAAAGTTTTAGTGGGAAACGAAAAGACTGTGTTAGAGGAAAATGATGTGATTGTGTTAGATGATAGTGAAGAAGAAAATAAGGAGGTACAAGTAATATCTGTAGCAGATGAAGCACCCATAGCACATAAAGAGATCAAAGTTTACACTTCGCAATCTACAACTCCTGATCAAAGGCGAGCGCTTCTCTTCAATGTTGGTGAACCATTTGAAGTATCAATGAATAAATTCAATAGTGAATAGTAGCTGCTCGTTACAAATATGTAGACAAGGTTCAGTTATAAAAACTACACCAATGGTAATTCTTAGAAGGCATTTGTATGCTGATTAATGAAGCATAATCATTCAAGTGGTCGAAAGGAAGGAATTCCTGCTAAAAAATGGCGAAAAACAAAGGTCTGTTCCCCAATCTCTGCTTCGCAAAAATCCAGATGCTATATTTTGTTAGTGCACAAAAAGTGCAAGTAGAATGATATAATGGAAGTTCTAATCATTTACATATGTTTGATGAAAGTGAAAGGCTAAAGCGTTCAGAAGCAGTGCAGAAATTAGTTGAGAAAGAAGTGACCAAAAACTACTCACTATTTGCTATTACGAGTGCAATTAAAGACTATGCGACTAGGATATTGGATCTGAGCTTGAGTGTTAAGGAGCTAAAACATGCTAAAGTTACAAACATTAAATACAAAGTTTGTGAGGTTCAAAATGACTATTTAAGTAGTAATAAAAATAAAAAATCTGATATAGAAGAAAGTATTCTTTTTTTGAAAAACTAGAGCTATCATGTTGAATATTATATAACCTCTAGTTGGTCTACTTATAGCCTGGTCTTTATACATCCTCTTCAACTTGTCAAGCTTGAACAATATGGGTAGTTAACCTTTATTGATTCAATGCATAAAACCAACAAGTATGATTGCTGCTTGTTTACCTTATATGTTCGAGATTCGTATGGCTGTTAGGACATTGGCACTCATTTTTTTGTTGATAAAGAAGATAGTAATACAGTTTCAGATGCCTTAAAAATTGTAAAAAAATTTGGAAGCTATTGAAAACCACGATATATCCTTGCCAACTAAAGCTATGTTGAGGCTAATAGCGTTATGAAAGCATTTCCTGATCTCCAGAGTAGTGAACAAGAATATACAGTAATTTTTTGCATAGTCCATGTAATACAAGTATGGATGAGTAAAATATATGAAGCAAAGGCCTGAGGAAAAATGATTTAAACAATGAATAAAACTACAAAAATTAGGTACGATATGCTTATCAAAGAGGCGATTGAATTGTGTCAAGTTACCAGTATAAAAAATTATATCAAAAGAAATTACTAAAATAATTCAAATTAATGGGCTTTATGAGCTCAACAGCATTCATCGCTTTTATTACAAGTAATTTCAATGAATACCCTGGAATTATACTATAGAAAGTTAAAGACAACAACATCATCGAGTCATGGTATAATAGGTATAGCATAAAAATCATTTTAGTCAAACCTGGCCCGATTTTTTATTTTTATTTATTTTACTTTATTTTTTTTAAAAAAGGTTATTTAAATTTTTTTTTTGTTTTTAAAAAAAAAAATTATTTAGAATTTTTTTTTTTTTTTAAAAAAAGGTTTTCTTTTTTTTTTTTAAACAAAAATATTTTTTGTAAAAAAATATGTTGTAAGGTTAAATTTATTGTGTTTATTAAATATCATTGATGCAAAAATAAAAAAAAAATGATTTTAAGTATTATTTGTTCAATTTATATTAGGTGCATGTCATAAAATTGTCACCTTAGATATAAAAAAATATACCAACTCAGAACATGTGGCTTTTGAATTCAGAATTAAACGAATTTCAGTTGTTGGAGTTGAAGATGAAATTCTTGGTCAAATTCACAAGTTTCTATTTTCAATCTAACAGTTAATTGTCACTGAAGTTTGTGCTGTTGAAAAAAGGGTAGAAAGAGGTAAAGAATCGCCTAGTTTAACTTCATCTAACTGTTCTTGTCTGTTCTTT